TTATGCAAGTAAGTTCTCAGGAAGGCATGAGGAAGTAGGAAAAGTTCTGAGAAGGTCAGATGTGGGCAAGGGTCTCAAAGGCAGACAAGTGTTCACTAAGCCACGTGGAGAGGGAGATGGCCTCCAAGGAGCCATCTGGGTGACCAGTCACTGACCTTCCCACCTCTGGCCAGAGGACAGCCCCCATCTAGAAGGCCTTCTCATTTCCAGATCTAGCTGCAGAGCCACAACAAGTGCGTTAAGTAGCATGTGGTGATCTGTAATCACTTACTCATGTCCTTCGAAGGCCCCTCGAGGCAGGAACTACAGCTGTCATGTTCACTGCCTCATCCACAGCTCCTAGCCCTCCTGCCCACGGTATCGAGCCTGAATGCCAGCAGGTGAAGTACAGCATAGTGCAGCAACCAATCGGTAAGCACGAGCAAAGAGGGGAAGTAGGGCAGAGTTTGGAGGAAGAACAGAGCCAAGGAGTACATGTGGATGAACTGAAACGTGAGCTGATAAATGACCCGGAAGTGAGAAGGAGAATCAGTGGGGCTACATGGAAAACAAAGAACAACCCTTAAGAGCCAGCAGCCAAAGCTGACGTGTCCAAAGTGAGTGCTGCAAAATGGGGAGCTCAGCAAGGCACTGGGATCGTGCAAAGGGGAGAACTAAGCAAGAAGGGACAGTAATTCAGACTGCAGAGGGCTCTGAGGGAAAGCTGGCTTATGTTCCATGTTCAATATACTCTGGTATTTTCTGTTAATAGTTAAGAGCAAAAAGCATTTTTTAAGCAGCAAAAAGAAGATTCTTCAAAGGAAGAAGTGGCGATATTCACTGTAGTTTTAGTATAAAACTTCATAGGGCATTGCTGTCATGATAAAATCAATTCCTTTCCTTCTCCTAGTACTATACACAATGTAATGTGAAAACCTTGCAGTTGAGGATAATAAATCCTGATGTCTGTCTTTTTCCAGCAAATAAGTAACAGGAGTTGGAGGATGACCACACGTCGCTCTTGATTGCATATGGCACACAACTCTGATGTGAACAATGGCTATTCTTCACGGCTGACTGGAAGGAAAAGCAACAGAAAAAACAAATACTGTAAAAGAAAAACCCACTATCTAGTCACTGAACAGAGATCCAGAAAGGAAAAAACCCTTTACACTCTACTGAAACCAGGAAAAACAGATCAGACTTGCCCTGCTATAGTTCATCCACTCTCACAGGAAAAATCCTTGAACAGGAAACTAGCACAATAAAAAGCACTACATGCCAGCACTTGCCTGAACACAAGGGTCAGTGTTCCATCTGCTGTCCAAGACAAAACACTAACACACTACGATGAACTGTAAGACTGTGTTCTGAACTTCATGTTTCTACATCTCTCTTTATTCCTGATAACCCACTACTGCCTTAATACCACGTATCTAAAGAGATCACCAAGTACATTTTAAGGTGTTTATAATGTCCTCTAACATTTCAACATTCTTATATAAATTTACTATTTCACAACTAAAATGAATACAGGACATTGTATTTGCTCAATATTTACACGTGACTCATGTCAGCACGGTTTGCCTGTTTTGCTCAATTACAACACGCTTCATCAGAGTCTGTATGTTGCACATAGTCAAGTCTGATCTATTTTTCCTGCTTTCATTTGAGGGGACAGTGACCTGGCTTCTAAATGGTCTGGAAGTTAAGCTGAAGACTAAAAGCAACATGGTTATTTTTAGACCTCTACAGGCATAAAAATACAGCACTAAACTGTGACCTACAGCTATGCACAGCAACGCATCACAGCATGCGACAGTCTCCGCTTTAGCCAGGAGCGCATCTGTGGTGCTTCTGACGGTGTTTGTCATTTCATTACCAAAGACACATCCGACGTGCTTGGGACCTGCGTCCATCGCTGCTGGCATCTTTTGCAAACAGAATGAGTGCATTCAGAAGGTAGACCATTATATAATTTGTGAAGATTCAATAGTAAGTTATTTTTGTCATTTCTTCTAGCTTACTTACAAGGTGAATTAATGAGCATTCTCTCCAAGTGAAGACATCACAACCTCATTCCTAACATAGAAAGTTGTTTATTTCAAATTCAGTTTCAGTGGGTAAATTGGGAGGCTCGTTCCTTCAAGAGAAAACACATCCTGGAGAAAGAGATGCCTGAGTGAAACAGCTTCATCACCAATTCGAGTCCACACTGGCAACAGCCCCACATCAGATTCATCAACTTGGCAGGTAAGTGCTAAGCCTTCTCTGTACAAAGCGTAAATCAAAAGTATCTGTAAACGGTACTTTCCAATGCATGAATATTTTAAACCTTCCTAAGAATTTTAATAGCAAGTGTTATTTTCAGAAATTGTTCAGTCTGTAGATTATCCCTGACTTTATGTATTTAATTGCTGTTTGGCAATATAAAAGTATTTTCAAAGCTTGGTTTTTGGCACTGACCTAGTTAGAAACGAAAAGGCTTTAATCCATGTTCTAATCTTATATTGACCTGCATATCGAACCAATGAAAAATTCATGTACTTTTCTGGAAATCTTATTGTAAATCAACAAATATTTGCTCATCAGAACCATAAAATTATATGCAAATAGATAAGTGAGAATATTTCTACAGGTTAACAATGCCACTTTTTGGCTGGATGAAGTGGCCAAGAAATGATTCCTACAAACCCACACACTGTGCCGGCTCAGATGTAGTGACAAAGACTCTGCTTCGGGAATTAAAATGGCATCTAAAGGAGCGCGAGAGATTAATACAAGAAATCGAAAATGAACAAAAAGTAAGAAAAACAGGTGTGGATTACAACTGGCTGAGAAACTACCAGAACCCTCACACAGCTATCCCAGCTACTGAACAAAGACAGCTTGAAGTTCTTTGCTCCCAAGTTCAACCCTGCCAAACTGGAACTGTTCTCAGCAGGTAAAAATACTGGGTTTTTTCTTATGTGATGAGCTACTGCCAAGTCTAACTTCCACACATATTTAGACTGAAATCTAATCTATTATTTAAATTCTTTAATGATGTGTACTAAATACCAAGTCACCAAAATCACTCTAGATAAAATGGACCAAACTGTCTATATGTATCCCACTGACAAGAAATTTTTAAAATTACAATCAAAGCTTAACTAGACACATAATATTAAGTCATGTGCAAATTATTCAAAAGGTGGGTAACTAGTACATAATTATGTTACATAAGCTATATGTTGGAGATGAAGGGATACGCCAAAAAAGTTTTCTGAAGTGAATATTCATTCCCACATTTCCCCTAGATTTCGAGAAGTTTTGGCAGAAAATGATGTACTGCCCTGGGAAATAGTCTACATCTTCAAGCAAGTTCTGAAAGACTTCCTCAGCAGCCTGGACAGAGGCAGTCCTGGAGAGAGCTCACAGGAGTCCCAGGAGACAGGCTGTCCCCTTCCCTCTGCACTCCCAGGTGACCATGCCCAAAGTGCAGACAGAGATGAAATACCCACTATTTCTAGTTATGTAGACAGAAACACAAAGAACAGGTTCCCATCATGTTCACACAGAATATGGAACCTACCGCATTATTATCCACCAAATTAGGAATGCACCAATAACCAGCAATTTTTATGACCACCTTAGCATCAGAGTTCTTATGATGAATACAAAAAATGTGACTTCAAGTTTGTTTCACGGTAAAAGCTAAAATTCCTATGGATGTATCCTGTCTTATATAGTAGTCTTTTCTCAACCATTCTAAATATGCAATGTTCCATTTAATAGTATACTTTTAACTAAAATGTTTCCTAAATATTTTTTTAAAATGTTTGAAGTATTTTGTTATGCCTCAAACACATCTCACTAAGGCAATTCAGTATGAAGTTTGATGGATTCTGTGTGAAACTTAGCTAATCTTGACTTTGATTCTAAAAAACCTATGTACAGAATAAATGCTTGATGTAAATTTTATCTTTACAACACTGAAATGAAGAGGTCAACGCTGCATCACATGTCACTCTCAGTGAGGACAGGGGAAGAGACAGTGAGGAGGAAATGGCATGCAATTTAAACAGAACAGTGCTTTATCTGGACACCCAGACTAATTTTTAATCACAATAACTTGTACCTCAAAATTAAAGGAAAATAATTAAAAATCACAGGTCTATATTATTTCAGTTAAAAAAAGGTCTGATTAAACAGTAGTAGCTGCTATTATCAAAGAAAAACATTTGCCAAGCACTGTGGTTCATGCCTACAATTCCAGCACTTGGGAGGCTGAGGCAGTAGGACCACTGAGTTTGAGACCAGCCTGGGCTACACAGCAAGATCATATCTCAAAATGTAAATAAATAAATAAATAAATAGTTTTAAAAAGAAAAACATTCAATGCTGACACACAATTTAAATCTACACTATGCTCATGTAAAACACTTTGTAAATTCATCATTTCATTACTTCACTGAACTATAAGTTAGGTTTCTATTTTTTGATAAAGAACTAGAATCATTTGCTTGTTTGTTTGTTGAGACAGGGGCTTGCTGTGTAGAGTTCAGGTTGGCCTAGAACTCACTATGTAGGCCAGGCCGGCCTCAAGCTCATGAGGGTCCTCCTGCCTCGGCCTCCTGAGTGCTAGGATTACAAGCGTGTGCCACCACACCTGGCTAAGAATCTTTACCATTCTTAATACAGGTAAGACCAGAGACTCCTCAGGCACCTTCAGAACATCTATAACTTTGTATGTTTAGATTTTGGTTTTCTTTCATCTAAAAAGGAAAAATTCAAGATCAGACCTAAAAAAGAACGTTTTAAAACTCTGCTTCTAACCCTTTTCTCCCTGCACTCCTGGCCAGCTACTTGTATACCAGTGATGCCGAACTTCTCAGAGCTTTCAAAAATAGGAATGGCCCACTGTGGCTCACAAGCCAGAGGTTCACCACCACTGCTCTATACCACTTTCAACAGGTCTCAATTTGTTCTTAAATACCAACCATGGAATAAATAAATAGTGTCCATCTGGCCAGATTTCATAAGAGAAGGGAAACAGAAGCACGACCCTAAGTGCATCTAAAATAAAGACACCTCTCACTGTTGCTCCCTTTCTGTTCTGTGTTTATGACACGACTACCTTGGGCTCCTTCAATCACAGCAAGATTGTTTAGAGTGGAAACTATTTGTGGGAGGTGAATGTCCCCAAAGCACACAATTGCTTCTTGTGCAGTGAACACAGAAAATAGCAAACACGAGTTTTAAGAAAATACCATGCCTTTGGAGTTTGCCTCTGAAATCCAGTACTAGAGCTGGTAGCCCTTCACTCTGTCAGGAATGAGGTGCCCTGGTTCAGGGCCCACAGCACCACAATCATCCTCCACACCTTGGCCAGCACTTCCTGGGCAGGACAATGCTCCATGCTCAGACAAGATGTTTTTTCCCAAATCTCCCATTTAAAAGCTCACCAGCTGTGCCAGCTGTGACAGTGTGCTCCTCCAATCCCAGCTCCTCAGAACGCCAAGGGGGGAGAACTACCTGAACGCAGGAGCTTGAGCCTAGCCTGCACAGTAGAGTGAGACTCCAGCTCAAAAAAAAAACAAACAGCGAGCTCACTGTGGCTGAGGAAGCCATAGACAGTGGTGTCACTCCACCAACCAAGATGAGGAGGTACAGCCCGCACTGAGTCACCACGGAGGAGCTAGTCCACTTCACCGCAGACTGTGAAAGGGAGTGGACGAACACAGAGTTTTGAGTTTCTCTCTCTCTCTCTCTCTCTCTCTCTCTCTCTCTCTCTCTCTCTCGCCACTTTATTGTTGGCAGGACCTAAAAATTGTATTTCTCAAGAGCTTTAGTTTAGAAAGCTTAAAATCATAATAGTGTCTTTTTGTTTGTTTGTTTGTTTCATCTTTTCGAGACAGGGTCTCACTATGCAGTCCAGGCTGGCTTTGAGCTCGCTTCGTAGCCCAGGCTGGTCTCGAACTCACAATAATCCTCCTGCCTCAGCCTCCCAAGTGCTGGGATTACGGGCGTGTGCCACCACACCCAGCCTATAATTGTTTCTAGAAAATCAACAAATCAAATAGAAATTTTAAAACAACTTTCTGAATGATAAAGATCCAAGTTTTTATGCACTGGGCTGTTTATAACACCTAGAACATGTTTTTGACCTGGTGAAGCAACCTGGGTCAAAAACATAAAGAATAAAAAGGGGGAGGACTCCTGGAAATGCTCAGGAATATTTTGGCAAGAGAAAGTGGTGTAAGTACAGTAGCTAAGAATTTTGTAAATAGTAAGAAGTAAATAAATTCATGTAAAAGTACCCTGCATGTTACCTAACATAACACGCTGTCAAACGGTAACATTATGAACTAGCCCAACCCAATCACATGAAAGCCATTTTCCTACATGCCAGGCACATGTGCATTCACATTTGATCCTGACCCTGCTCCCCCTAGCGGGGTAACAGCCTCAGGTCTATTATGTGTCCTGCCCAGCAAGGGAACTGGCAGTGCTCCGGGCTCACACCCAGCCCATCAAACCTCACTAAACTACCTTCTGTGCTCCGAATGCGAAAAGCCAGTTGCCAGCTGGACTCTTCCCCTTTGTATGCTCACAGGCAACTTAAAATCAACAAGCTCAAAATGAAAATTGTAAAGGTTGGTTTGTTTTCTAGTCAGGGGTGGTGGAGCACACCCGTAATCCCTGCACTCAGGAGGCTGAGGCAGGAGGACTAGAAGTGTGAGGCGAACTTGGGCTACACAGTGAGCTCAAGGCTAGCCTAAACTACATAGAGAGACCCTGTCTCAAGGAAAAAAAACAAAACCAAGGGTTATTTCTTTTCTAGAAGAACTATAACTCAAGACAGGAACTAACCAATACATACACCATCAAAACAACATCCAGCTGGATGTGGTGGTACATACTAGTAATCTCAGCATTTGGAAGGAGGCAGAAGGACTGCCACAAGCTCAAGGCCAGCCTGGTTTACACAGTGAGTTCAAAGCCAGGCTGAACTGAATAGGGAGACACTGTCTCAAAAAAAAAAATAAAACAAAAAATCCAACCCACATACATAAAGCATAACTCCTCTCTTCAACAACTAGCATTTTCCATCTCAGTAAGTGACAGCAGTACCTACCCATCCAATTCTACAAGCCAGAATACCAGCACCACTCTGGTGCCCTCTGCATAGAGAAGGGCCGAAACAACAATCACACGCTGCGAAGATGGGGGGAAACTGGGTTTCTGTTAGCAGAAGTATGACTTTAGAAACATGGTCTTAGAGGAGGAAAGGAGGTGAACCAGACTAGAGAGACCAAGAAAGACGATGGGGAGGACTCTCCAGCTCTCCAGGGTTGCAGGAAGCTTCTCCAGGATGTGGACAGTTGCACAGGGCCCATAATAAAGAGCCTCTCGTGGGACCACTCCACACAGAATGAAAAGTAAAAGCAGAAACTGCAAGGTATCTCCAAGATACAGAAATATGCCAGAAGGCAGTAAAAAAAAAAGAGCAGCTGATGGAGCAATGTTCAGCGTGCCATGACTGTGAGTCTAACTTGTACCCAACAGTAGTCTGTCCCAAGAAAAGTCACACAGGTATTCAAGGAGCCTCAAGTGTGAGCGTCCACTCAAGTTTGATCATTCCATAAATACTAACTGAGCAGTGTGCCAAGCATGGTGGCACACCCCTGTGTTCCCAGCACTCAGGAGGCTGAGGCAGGAAGACTGCTGTGACTTTGAGACCAGCTTGGGCTACAAAAGCAAGTTCAAGGCTAGCCTGCACTACATAACAAGACCCTATTTCAAAAAAACAAAACACAAAAAATAAATAAATAAAATTAACTGAGCAGTGTCCTTATACCAGGCATTCTTCTAAGTGCTCGATTACTGGGTAGGAAGCCAGCAGGCCAACACGGAAAGTACTTGTAATAACCCAAGCAACTGTGAGCCACACTAATGCTGGAAACTGGCATACTTACCAGGACACCCTGGTTTCTACTGCACTGTTTGATTGTGTCCCTGCATTCACAAATGCACACACACACACACACACACACACACACACACACACCCCTTAGAGAATCCACTATGGCCAGAGGAGGGAGACAGTGAAACCCTCGTGTGTCTAGAACAAGGACTTGGCGTGTCAGTCCTCTGTCAGTCCTACTAGGGCAACTCATTCATTCAAACAGCTGCACTCCTTGTGTCAGGCACAGTACTAATGGTGTGTCCTCAGTAAGTTCTTCTGTGGGGAAAAAAACAAATAACTCTCAAAAAAAAGAAATGCATGCACAGAGTGCTAAGCAAGTTGCTGTCCACTTGTTTTGTTTCTGTGCCACAGGAGATTGAACCCAAGGCCTTTACACTGAGCCACATCTCAGCTTTTTTGCTCTTTATTTTTGTACTGAGGCAGGGCCTTGCTAAGCTGCTAAAATGCCAGTTGGGCTTGAACTCCTGCCTCCACCTCCCAGAGTGCTAAGATTACACATACATTACGCACCACCACACCTGGCTGTTTGCTGAGGAGGGCCCACTCCCTGTTTTGCCTCTGACTGTCCAGCTGCTCCTTCCCAGTCTCCTCTGCCCATTCCATCTGACCAGCCTCTAAACACCAAGCACCCTGCCTGGGCCTGGAGCTCTGTGCTCTATGCAGACCCACTAAGGGGACCTGGCACCTACAGTTGGAGTGCTGTTGCCTCAAAGCTTCAAACCCCCACACGCCTAGTTTCAGACAGACTGCTTTCTTCAACTCCAGACTGACCCTCCTG